CTTCAGCCAAAGGAGTCGATAACTCCATGATTAAAGAGTGGCAAACAGCGAAGCTTGGGTCTGGGTGATTCGCAGGCCGGAGGGGGTGGGTCAGAACAGTGGGCAATTTAACAGCCATTAATCCTCAAAAAAATAAAATATGCAAAAGCAGTTATAAATAGGAACTATTTGTGGAGCAATGTTTGCAGCATTTTTTTTCTATTCATACAGATATACAATGACTTTCTTTTTTAAAAAAAAGAGAGGGTACCCCATATTATGGATGGCTGTGTGTTTACCATCATTTGTAATGTGTCTTTCAGGTTTTGGCCATTAGAATGGTGGTTAATCTGTGACTATTCCTATCTGTTTTCCAAAGTCTAAGTTAATTGCTAATTTAATCTTTTATTTATTAGGATTCACCAGTTAAACTGGTCTGAAATATATGAAAGAAAGGAGATAATACTAATCAAAAGAAAGCTACTTAGCAAGCACAGTTCAAATATATGAGGAAACAAATAAAGAAAAAAAACCCTAGCCTAGTAAATATCTCTATATAATTTTATGATGAGATGGGGAATCCTCAATAACATTTTCAGTACCTGTACTAAATTATACATTTCACGATTCTTCGTGGAAGCCATGAAAACTAAACTGGTACAGAATATGAATGCTATACGTTGACAATGTGTCAGTGTGTTTTATTCCCCTGAGCAGCATCAAAGACAAGATCTCAAGTTCAGCTACAGAAAAACAGAACAGGCTCTGCTCAGGATCTGTAACTAGGTAAGCAAATACCTAGTCAGCCAAAAATAGTCATGGGTCACCATGTCAGCATCTTAACTGCAAAAGGAAGTGAATGCATATTCTGGGTGGAAGACAGCCAGGCAGAATTGGAACACATCCCTGATCTCCAACTTACATGCCATGTCGATGGCTATGAGGGATGTGTGTGTTAATATTAAGCTAGTAATATTAGTAGTTTAATTGAGTTTATTTGATTTTGAGGATTAATCTAGCGTATCCTTCACTTGTTTAAATCTATGAGATAGACTACATCATAAATAACATATCCGAGGCCCTTTGCCTGTTTGCAAGGTCAAGCAGATTTTGTTTGTTTGTTTACCTTGGCTCTCCTATCTCTGAATGCAACATATCCATTTCACTCCACTTCTGATATAGAATCAGGCATCAATTACAAGGAAGTGCTACCTCAGACTAAGATAACCACATGCCTAGTAGCTATTTACATGCATTCCAAAGTCTGTGCCAAGACAGGAAATTGATTGTAATTCTGTACCAGCATCCAATCTGGGTTTGGACAACCAGAGGTTTAGTGTTCCAAGCTTTCGGACTTGTGATGGAGCCAATGGTAATTCTGTACTATTGCACTAGAAATGGTGTAGGGTCTCCTCTTTGGGCAGGGGGTTGGACTAGATGACCTACAAGGTCCCTTCCAATTCTGTTATTCTGTTTTATTGGAACAGCCTGCTTTCTCCAGGCCATTTTTCTTCTGTTTACTTACCATCTGCTTGAATGCATTTTCAATGGCTCCCACTACTAAACTTTCATGGGAAACCACCTTTTCCATATGGAAGCGTGGCAAGGCACTGTTTGGGACCTCTGCATCTTCTGCCAGAGGAGCTTTGTTTGGTTCTGTGAGAAATGTCCTGGGTCCCTTTTGCAGGCAAATTGGAGGAGGAGAGGAATCTTGTAAGATATCCACCAAGTCTCGGAGTTGGTCACGAATATGAAAATGAAGCAGTTTTGATGCCATGATTGCAGCTCCACTTCCAGCATGTCCGTCAAACAAACCCCAGTAGTAAAAGTACAGACCTTTGCTGCCCTGTGGAGAGGTTGGAAAGGTTATCCTGATGTGGTGCCAAAAAAAGGAAACTCAAGTTTTAAAAAGTGAAACTGATGAAACAGCACTATGGTGAAATTCTGCAAGCTTTGCAGTTTGTGACTGAAGCAACATTCAGCACCTTCTCAGCCAGCGATCAATTTAACCAAACTGCCATCAGTTCAAGGATGTCCTAATTCCTGGACTTTATTTTACTGCAAAAGGGCAGAAAAGGTGATGAAGTAGCAAGGTGATGAGATTTTTGCTCCTGAGCAATGCAGAAGTTTTATGTACATAGAGCATATACACCAAAGTTAAATTCCTTGTGTTTCCAATCACACTTGGCCAATAAAGTATCCTATCCTATCCTATCCTATCCTATCCTATCCTATCCTATCCTATCCTATCTTATTCACCCTGTGTCTACAAAGAGGCCACAGGCATTATTATGTCTGCTTTAAAGGCCTTTTTAAAAAGCTGGTATTTTAAATGCCAGCTGCAATAGTTCCTGTGACTATGGTGAATGGGAAAGTTTGTGGAACCCACTGCTTCACAATTCCTCTTTATCAAGTAAGCAATGGTTGCCAATTCAGATGAGACCTTTGAAACAACAACTATTTTGTGTGACCATTACTATTAATCAGCAATTGGGAATCAAACAGTCCTATAATCCCAAATCAGAATAAGTTCACATAATGTGGTAAACTATGATTCAACTATGGTTGAAACTATTAGCTGGGTAAAATTGTTATGAAGCCATAAATAATGGCCTGTTTAACCCTGATTTATTGGATAATCCATAATAAACTACATTCTGCAGGATCCAATCTGAGTCGGTGAACTACATTCTAACTGCACAGACAAAAATTATCAGTTATAAGTCATAACAATTGGGTTCATGCAACAGAGTAAACCAAAATCAAATAAACTACATTACGGGTTGAGACCCAGCTGCAGAAGAAGCTCTGGTCATCCAGTTGCTCACCACTCACTTCTGACTCTCCAGAGATTCCCTTGGGGCCTGGGTTATTTCTCAGGCTGTCTCTTTTTTCCACAAAGACGGCTTCACAACAAGCTTGATCCTCATTATGTTGGCTCTTACCAGCATTTATCACTCTGTTTAGGAAAGAGAGAAACAAACGATCATAGTGTGGATTTAAGGATATGAGTTTGATTTGATTGGCCAACTTCCCTCTATCTCAGATTCATCTTGCACAAAGAGTGACCACAAATAGGGACAAATGATTCCATTGCTGCTGTTTTTAGTAAACAGAAGCAATCTGAGAAAGGACCTGGCATAGCCGTAATGTCTGTTTTTGTTTTACCTAAAATCCAGTCCTGTTTAGCTACCAATAGGTGGGTTCATTTTACCTCTAGTCAATGAATGGTTTCTGGTACCCGACTGACCAACATAGGACCATCAGAAGTGAAGCTCTAAAACCATTTAATTAAACTTATTATTAACCTCACACTGCCTTCTTTGTTAGCCAAACAGAACTCCTGGTTTCAAGCTTTGTTCAAGCCCTTGGAGGCAACCATTATTTCTGATGAAAGAACCTGCCAGAGGACCTCAAAGTCAGCAAATCTCCTAGCATAAAACTGTTAGACAAAATGAATTGAAACTTTCCGACCACAAGTTTCTTTTATCTATGTTTTCCTTCAGCTTTGCAACTTCACATCATTGCAAAACGCAACTTGGTAGCAGGAAGTTTTAGAAACATAAAACAGGAAACATTGTCTGGTTAGGAATTTGCAACAGTACAGTTTGCAAGGCACAAATAGTATATATGGTATTGCGGAGGCAGTTGGTATAGAACTCAGGAGTTTCCAAACAGGCACTTCCTCATCCCCCACCACCCCTACAGGATGATAGGAAAACCTTCAATATGCTTCCAAAGAATTTTTTAAAAGCATTAAGAAACTAAGAAGGTAAAATGTAACTAGTACAAGTTACAATCAGTTGCAGGGGGTATCAGCTACAATTGTGCAAAGTCCCATTCCTTTTATACCTGCATGTTAAAAGGAGGTGAGACTTTGCATGGTAAGAGTCATTACCTGGGTTTTTTTTTTAGCCCTCCCCACAGGCCTACTCTACATATACATTTAGACAAATGCATATGGGTGTGCACACATTCCTTTTCATGTATTTCAAACCAATGAAATGTGTATAAAGAGCATTTAGGCCTAACTTAGCTTCAGCAAACATGCTACATCATGGACATTCCAACATCTGATTTCAATGTTTGCTTCAAGCCCATCTATTTATGTCAAATAGGCAACTAAACTATAGAGGTGTCTGTTTTTCAACCAGTCACCGCAACTGTATCAAAACAATTTTGATCTGCAGTAATTAAAAGGCAAAATTTGCCCTCTTCAGGTGGTCTTTCTCTCTTTTACATACGTACATATAGGAAAAGTAAACAGCATGGGAGATAATTTTGTACTGTATAAGAATAATCACAATGTTGAATCCAAGTTTGGTTTTGTTACTAGTTTTTACCATTTTGTTGTAGCAAGAAATTTATATCCTTTCTGATCTAAAGAAATTAAGAAAGAAAAGGAAGGAAGGAAGGAAGGAAGGAAGGAAGGAAGGAAGGAAGGAAGGAAGGAAGGATGGATTTCAGTAGTTGTGAAACAATTGCAAAGTTGCCTGGGACAAGATGGGATCAATAGACACTGTATTCTGACTTTTTCCCACTGCAAATCTGTGGAAACCTATTATCCTAAACTTGTTCACAGTTCAATTTTTTTGTTAAAAGCCACTAGTTTTGTCTTTAAATGACCATACTTGAAATATCAAATCCTGCAGATTTACAACTAGTCATTTTTGGTATTTAGTGGTAATCGTCAAACTTAAACACATTCACCTGGAAGCAGAGTTTTGTCTAATTTCAAATTGCAATACCAGGACTTATTGGCAATATAGAAAGCATAGGTGTGCTTTGGATTCAGGAATGCCTTTTTAATATACAGAAGGTAGTTGAAATGTGAATATGGGTATTTATGGAACTTCATTGATTATTGATGGATTATGAAAATGCATTTGATCAAGGGAAGCATGGTAATAGGTATATTGAAAACAATAAAGCTGCATTATGATGAATTTATATTGGAAGCAAATGGCACCTATTAAGGTAGAAGGAAAAGCAAAATAATTTCAACTATTGTTTGGGATGCAACAAAGATGTGCATTGCCAACTTGGCATTTCAATATGTATTCAGAAGTTATTTCCAATTAATATTTAGAAAAATGGTAAGACGATATAAACTTTAATAGCCAAATATTAAGCAAGTTTTATTCAGATTATTTTTCTGTTTAGTAAATAGAGAGCAAGGTTTACAAAGTTTACTCCATCAAATAAATCATACAGGCTATATTCAAAACAGAACAAAGCAAAAATAATTATCAGTAAAAAGAAGATCCCTCAACAAGCTATCATACAAGCAAAACAACTTGAGAGGGTGAGATATTATAAATACCTAGGCTGGATTCAGAGTGACAGATGGGATCAAAGCATGGAAATAAAGAGCAAGGCTGAACAGGTGAGAGTAGCTTGTTGAAAAATAAGTAACTAGCTTGCTGTCAGGATTTAAGATTGGAACTTTGTTGGCAGATTGTATACTGTTATGTCTTGCCAGTTCTTTTATAGGAGCCAAATCACAAATAGGGTAAGAGAAGCCTTTGAAATGTGGATTTATAGATTATAGAATTAGTGTGCAACCAAATGAAGCAGGCAGTCCTCCAAAGCATAGGCAAAGACAGGGAAAGTGTGAATAACAACAAGAAAAGAAAATGTTCTACTCAGATCAGATGATACATAACGAGAAATATCAGCTCAATGAATTCTGCAAGGAAAGCTAAAAAGGAAATGTAGTACTGCATGATGACCCATATCCGGATGAAATATCTCTGCATGTGAGTTGGCCAAGTAATATATCCTTGTTTCAGATAGTAAAACTGAAGCTACAAATATCATTATAGTCTCCAGCAGAGGTGGCACTAAAGGAAGAACTAGAGGTTCTTTTTAACTCAGTGACTGGATTGGGAATCAAAGACTTGCAGAGTTGGAAGCAACCATTTAGGCATGTCAAACTTGTGGCCCACATGCTGGATGTCACGCACTGTCCACCCCCACCCCCGTTTTAGTGAAGGGGGAAAAAGTTGTGATATGTCAGGTGGTGACGTGTCATTGCAAGTTTGACACCCCTACTTTAGGTCAACGGTTGTCAATCTCAACAACTTTAAGATACAGGGACTTCAACTCTCAGAATTCCCCAGTCTTAAAATTGCTGAAATTGAAAAAATATTGATTTAGGTCATTTAGCCCAACTGTCTGCTCACTACAGGAATCCAGACATATCCAAGGAGAGGCCATTGTCTCTCTAGGCACATGTGTTCACTGTCCAATTATTCTTACTGATAGAAAGCTTTTTCTAAGATTCAGTCAGAATTTGCCTTTGTACTTTAAACCCATTACAGTATTTCACATTATGGGAACAAGTCCTGAACATCATCTATGCAGCATTCAAACAAAACATCCTATGCCTTGTTGCATGAATCTGGCCAAGGGCACAGTTTTTTCCCCCTGCATAAATTACTGCATTAAACTGTGTAAAAGGTTTCTACAATTTTAGCAATAACCCCAAGTTTATGTTAATAAATTCTTTAAGAGGAAAGAGACTTCAGTTTATTGTTATTCATTAGTCTGTTAAAAATAAAAAATAATCTGGTAGACCATCGCTGGGTTGAGTTTCAGGATGTTGCCCCTGAGGACGTGGACAAGGCCATGAGAGCTGTGAGTGCCTCCACATGTGTACTGGACCCGTGCCCCTCCTGGCTGGTTGNTAACTGTAGTACCAGGACAAATGGTATGATCTTCAGTTCATTGTAAAATCTCTAAAATCACTCAGAATGTCCTGGTGTGTCACCATTTTGTAGAGAGGCTATTATATATTTTAAATACTATTTTTTGATATATTTATTTGTTCTCTTAAGTGCTGTGAGTCAACTGAATCTTCAACATAGCAGAAAAAAGAAGACTGATGAATGTTCCTGCTTTAATTAATTTTTATAACATAATTCCAATACAATTAATTAAATTAATTAATTAATTAATATTTTAGAAACAATGTTTCTCAGCATTGGCAAATTTAAGATGTATGGATGTCAACTCCCAGAATTCTCCACTGACTGAGGAATTCTGGGAATTGAAATTCATATATCTTAAAGTTGCCAGTGCTGAGAAAACACCACTTTGTAACAATTACAATTCAGCTTCCACATCTCAACTATTTCTTCAGAATATTCTGAGATCAGCAGAATCATGAGTTTCTACAGTTCTATTTTAAAACTTAGCTTTTCTTTTGCAATGAATTATCACAAAACAATATCTTATAATGGGCATCCATGGGGAAGCAAGGAGGAGCAAAAGTAATAAACACGCACGTAACATTATCCCACATATGTCACAACTTACGCACTTGAGTCATATGTCAAGGCTCAAGTACCTAATTGCAGCATTTACATGATGATATCATTGTGTATATGTCATTATTTTGGATTCACTGTGGTTTGCTGTGGTTGCTGCTAATTCTGTTACATCAGGGGTGTCAAACCCAATCTACATTACGGGCTGTATCATGACATATTGGGATTGCTTTTGTCCTTGCAGGGCCAGGGTGGGTGTGGCCTGCGCAGGCCCTACCTAGTCAACAGCTTGTGTGTTTGACACCTCTGTTATTCATTATATATTACAACCTTTATATGTTGTAAGATTGTAACAACATGCATGCTCTGGTCTTTAAACATCTGCTCAATAAGGAAAATAAATACTAGATACAAATTTATAGTACATGGAGAGTCTCTCTTTACAATAAATCCACCCACATCATATTCCAAATGGAAGCTGAAAATTCCCTAAGCTTCAAAGATGATCGGCCGTGCTAGATAATGTTGCACAAAACATAAATGTATTAACCATGAGCAAAAAAAATGAGGTTTTTCAATTTAGATTTGCCTTGCAAACCTTATTTCGCTTAACCACTATGAACTCTGATGATCCTGTTTGTACAGAATTAATTTCTCAAGGATATACCTGGCAAGGTTGTTGTCGGTG